AAGACAAACACACATATCAGAATGACTAAAATTAAAATTATTAAAAATGTTCCAATTATTGTGGACCAATAAAAACAATATTTTTATAAACTCACACATGCCATCCATTTACAAATTATCTTAAACTCATTAAAATATAATAATAAAAGCTAATTCAACATATTAATACATACTATAATAGTAAATAACTCAAATACCACTGCTTAATGCTTTTTTTAGTAGTGGAAAATAATGAAAGATGATTAAGCTTAGGTGTCACATTTTACCAGTTGTCTTAAATGTAATCACCTTATTTTACTAATTTTGGAATCAATGAAAACACTGAAATAATCAGTTAAAGGCCCACTGTTTGGAATAAAAGGACAATTCTAGATTTATAGAGGCAAACAATAATAACTTTCCACATTTTTTAAAGCCATCATGTGTTTCCAGTCAGAATGAAGTATGCTGGAAAAATCTAGTCAGTGTTAAATTGAGAATTTCAGGAATAACCTCGCAAACAAGGCATTTCAGATTACATCACTTTTTATCAGTCTCATTTTAATGATACTTCATGTTTGACACATTGTGCTGGTGTGTAGCTTTACACAAACCAGGTGTCTGGCTTTTTATTCTGTTCACTGATGTGATGTTACCGAACTTCCATGTTCCAATGGGGCGTAAATTTCGTCTAACAGTAGGGGGCGGACAATAAACATAAAATTTCTCAAGGGCAATTTTTGAAGGGGACACAAATAATACAGCTAAAATTGTACTTGTAAGGATATGTATACACAGAGGAATGGCTTACTATTAGTGCAGCAGGGAGACCGTGCCAAATTAGACAACTTCAAGCTGTTGTGGCCGTGACAGCGCTCGTGCCCGTTCTAGACTTTACTATCCATCACAGTGTTGCCAAGTCCGCGGTTTTCCTGTGGAATTGGGCTACTTTATCACTGTTGCGGCCAGTTGTTTTTCGTGTCCGTGGATTGAAGCATCCCCAATAACGTGTATTTTAGCCACCAGAACGCGATTTTTACCGGGGGACCCCTCGAAAAGCGGTTAGTTTGGGCTAGTTTTGAGTAGCAATTGGGCGGGTTTTGTTATGAAAACCTGGCAACCCTTTCCCTCAAGCAGGTAAAGTTATTATTGCTAACATAGCAGACGCATCGAAAAATACATTGGCATCATCTGTATTAAAGATAAAATAATCACTTCATCCGATGTTTAAGTGAATAAAATAGCCTTGACATTAACAGCCTTACTAACTGGAGTTCCACAACTACTGGCTTTGTTCTCTCTCACCGAACTTGTGTGTGTGTAGGTGATGTAAAAGAGGAAAGCAGGCATTGAAGTACTGTGAGGCAAAGGAGGGGGAGACTCAAAATGTTTCTAAACTTAAAACGCATTTTTGCCCCGTTTGTGTTGTTTTACTACTTACACAATTATTTAAAGTATAAAACATTGTTATTTACAATGCACAGTGTGGTTTTTAAACATATTTTTAGGGGGGACAACCCTCAGATAGGGGGGTCCTCCCCCACTCCACCCCCCACAGTGCATGCACTTTCTTGTAAGTCGTTTTAACAAGAACATCATGTTATTGTGCATGTGCAAATTTTATTGTGCAAAGTTCTTCTGAGGACAAATCAACCCTTACGTTTACAATCACGGCTGATACTCTCATCCCTCCCTCTACCGCAAGTTAGAGTAAAGGTGAGAGCTATTAAAACAAGAATGGGGGTTTGACACAAATATAGTCTACTACAGTTGAGGGAGACAACCTGGAAAGAATCCACATTAGTGCCATTCAACATTATCATATGCGAACTCAAGTTCAGGAGCACTCACTGAATGTGACCACAGTAATTTATGCCGATCTGGAGACTGCTGGCTGCATTATTTAGAATAGATAATATGAAAACTAACGTTTTATGTTTTGTATTCCAATTGTTAAAAAATCGGTATAATTTCCACCATTCTAGTTATTGTTAATAAAGTAAAATAATTAAAAAAATAATATACATACGCATAATAACATCGATAGCGAACGGAGCCTCTTCCCTGCATCGCGGATCAAAAAGTGTGAAATTGGACATTTCCATCTTGACAATCAGCGTTTATTCACACGATCCAGGGCAAACTGTAATCCGTGGAAACCCCACTGTCCTCACCACCGGTTAGTTTCAGCATGCATGAAACTAATAAACTGAGAAGAAAGCAGGCTGGTGTTTTGTAGACTTGATGTGTAGTGTAATCCCAGCACTCTAGCAATCCCAGCTCTTGTTAAAGGAGCCGCCCATGCAAGGGGTAAATATTGATGGACCACTGACCAATGAAAACACAACTCTTTCATTCGATTACACTGCGCCTGCGCAATAGCGTCACACTCACACATGACGCGAACAGATAAAAACAACAACCGAATACGATAAAACTATTAGGTAAAGTAGAAGATAGGCATTATATCAACTTAAAAAAGACATACTATTGTATAATACAATCGTGTTTATATTAGTCACTAAAAACGTCAGTGCCTAATTAAAAAAATTAAAATGACAGAAAAGCCTAAAGCTTCACACAGTGCTGCTGAAAAACTTCTCATACCAATTTGTTATTGTTGTATAGCGCTAAAATAAAAATAGTAACAATTATGGAATTTTTGGTTTCCACGGTATTTGTTTCTTCTTGTATTTCTACTGAAATTACAGTTAAATCAGTTCTGAGAAGGGAATGACTAATAGACCGTTAGATAGATAGACAGGCAGACGAACAGACAGATATAGGCCAATCACACTATATGCAATCGAAACAAAAACTGGGACTTCAAAACACCTGCGTTAAACAGGCATGAACAGTAACTGGGAAGGTTTAGGTTACAACTTCACACAGACCAAAGTTCACAAGACTGACAATACACATTTTTACAAAGATTGTTAAAGGAGTATGAGAAGAGTATGTTTAACATGCTAAACTTGTGATTTGCAAGAGCTGAATGGCCTCAGTGCTAATGAGCTGGAAAGAGTTCAGGGTAAAGAACAGCCCTTGAAGCCAGTACACACACACACACAGAGACAGAGAGAGAGAGAGAGAGAGAGAGAGCGCATTTCATATGCATTTCAAAAGATGTACAAATATTCAACCCAGGTTTTTTGTATTCAAAAAATATCTATCCTCCAGGCACTTCAGCAGATCAAATATGTAACTGTTCTTGACATGCATTGAAACACAAGGCTTCAGTTTTTATTTGATTGTGACAGAAATAAAGAAAATGGTACAAGGACACCAACACCAAATCTTCTATAATAATTTCATTATGGCTTCATGTTTACTTTTTCGTAATTAATAAAGTATAAAATGTAATGAATGCCAAAATAATAATAATATAATAATAAAGGCTGTGTAATTCATAAGAAGACTGTCCAAAAGACAAAAAAAAAAAAAAAAAAAAAAAAAAAACTTTACCAATATACGCATTCCTTAACACCACAAAAACAGCTAAACCATTTCACATACAAAATTACTTGCTGCAATCTTCGTAACCACCAGCAATCTTCCTAACTGTGCTGACAGTCAAAGTGTGGTCACTGATGCTAAAAATGATAAACAGATTTTCTCAGCACATAAACTGTCAAATATGTCTTAATGAACAATAAAACCCATCTGGTAATACTTACAATCCATTCAAAGTCAGATCAGAGATAGTAAAGTTTTCCATAAAATGCTGCAGGTGTATAAATAAAGATCATCTGTCTATCTAAATTCACGAAAGGCTGCTTTGTTTTTCTGTATGGAGCTATTTTGTCTCTTTTTTACTGGTTACTTTACTTGTTTTAACCTCATTTACAACAAACACTCCAGAACAGCGACACCAGATGCACGCTTGCACACAAGTCTTGATTTGTCAAGGCATTTCTTTAGAAAAGTCACAACACAAATGAAGCAATCACCGCGATTCACTTTGTAGTACATAAACACATCTGGATTTCCACACATCAGTTCCACGTAAGCACACGGTACAGTCACAGCTGACGGGCACAATTATTATTCCACACTGGACCAAAGTTTACAAATGATAACTTACGACAAATATAAATACGTTTCACCTTTACCACTTTGCAAAAAAATGGCTTAAAAATAAGTATTCGGAATCTACAGAGCTATTCACAATGCTTATGTATAAAATATAAAAGAAAAAAAGTGTAAAACAATTTAATCGAGGATTGAGACTAATAAAGTCTGGTGATACAATACCAAAGACCACTGACCGCGTAATACAATATCAAGCAGTGTAAATGCCGCCTGCTGGCCAGTTTTGATACTGCAGGAGGAACCTACAAAGATTTCAATTTGGTTTCCAAGATGACACTGACTACACTGCATGAGCAGAGAGGTATTACTGACATTTTGTAAACACTCCTGTAGAGTTCAGAGCTCTGGTATTAAGCCCTTTATTTGGCATACGTAAAGTGGCCGATGTGTGCACAACATTCCACACCAGAATCATCTCAAGACGACGACAAAAAACAATAATAAGTCACCATAAGTGGAGCAGCTTAAGAATACACAAAAAAGATTTTCAGTCTTTTGCAGGCATTTTTCCTCTGCCTGGACACACTCCGTTGCACTTTGTGAACGTGTGTGTGTATATATATCTTAGAAGAATGTTAATGAAGTTTAAAAAAAAAAGTATAATATTCCAAAACATAAAAGTGCGAATGAGCACCTTTCGCTTTGCAGTGTCCATTAAATCTGAACTCTGTGGCACACGGGATTCCAGACGAGCTCAGTCAGACTGTTCACTTGGTATGGATCCAGAAAATAAAACATTTCCCACCTGTCCCTCAAGTAAACAGCAGTTGGTACCAGATGTGGTGCATTTCCTGGTAAACACTTGGAGAACAGTTTCGAAATCTGCATGTCTCGTGAAGGCCTGAGCAACAAAACAGTTTGCTTTGCAAAAAAGATGGATGTAAAAGACATGCGTGCAAATCTCTTTGTTGAAAGAGTGCAGCTACTATAGTTGAATGGGGACTGGGAGCAATTTTACAGATGTGAGGACAGATTTGGGACGCTCCAGAAGCGATGGAGCGATGGGTAAAGGAAAGTGTTCAGGAGCTTTCAGAGAAAAAGAGCTGTTTAAGGCATCAGCTTTGATGGCTGTGATTCTCCTCAACAGTCCCAAATACTGGGAGTCGAAGGCACGAGACCACTGAGGATTCACCCCGCACCAGCTTCAGTCCTACGGAAGGAAATGACATCAGAATGTCATAACTACAGTTCAAAAGTTTGTGGTCAGTAAGTTTTTTTTTAAATGTTTTTGAAAGAAGTTTCTTATGCTCATCAAGGGTGCATTTATTGTATTAACTGTTTTCTGTTTTAATAGATTTTAAAATGCAATTTATTCCTGTGATGGCAAAGCTGAATTTTCAGTAGCCATTACTCCAGTCTTCAGTGTCACATGATCCTTTAGAAATCATCTTACTGACCTTAAACCTTTGAACCATAGTGTATATATTGCATATATTACAAACAGTGCTTAGTGTGAAATCACCTTACCTGGTTATGACTCGCTCTCAATTGAGATAGTGATAGCCTCACTTTCATCTGAAAGGCAAGATGACGGTTATTCTCAAAACTTTTCTCACTCATTCCTTGCTAGAATAGAGCAACATATGTAACCTACCAGACTTTAAGACGTCTGTCTCTTTGTGATCTTCTTCAATGTGGAAAGCATTGCCTAACAGATGGTTTTGGGACTCACTGAGAGGGGTGGTTTGCTCAGCAGAACCTTCTACAGCACTGAGGGAAAGAACCACACTGAGAGTTATTACAATCCATCTGGTTTTGGTTAGTGCCCACCCAACAGTGAAAGAAAAAATGGCTCCTCACCCTTTATCCAACCCGGCAGGCTGGAGACATTCAGTGGGCTGCTCTGGATCAATAGTGACCAACCGTGTAGGAAAAGAAAAGCCATCTCCTTGACTAAAGCAGAAAAAAAAATATTTAAATGTATCTTTTAATAGATACTTTATCTAATTTTGAACTAGATTGATTTGGAGGAAAATGTGGTATTTGACCATGCAAAACTGATATACACTACAGTTCAAAAGTTTTTGAAAGTCTCTTATGCTTACTTTGGCTGCATTTATTTGATTAAAAAATACAGTAAAACCAATAATATTGTGAAATATTATTACAACTTTAAATAATTGTTTTCTATTTTAATATATTTTTAAATTTAATTTATTCCAGTGGTGGCAAGGCTAAATTTTCAGCTGCCATTACTCCAGTCTTCAGTGTCACATGCTTAATATATTTGTGTAAAATGTGACACTTTTTTCAGGATTCAAAAGAACCTTTTGTAACATTATAATTGTCTTTACTGTCATTTTTGACCATTTAATATAGTCTTGATGTATAAATGTATTAATTTCTTTAAAGGGGTCATAGGATGCCTATTTTCCACAAGTTAATATGATTCTTTAGGGTCTTAATGAAAAGTCTGTAACATAGTTTGGTTAAAATTTCTCAATGGTAATGTAAAAAAAACACCGTTTTTACCCTGTCAAAAACAGCTCTTTTCAGAGCACGGGTCTGAGGTAAGACACCAGTCCAGTCTGTGCTGAAACGCTACTGTCAATCAAACTATCGTGGGAGGGGCCTGTTTTTGTGACATCACACAGACAGGCATCTGAGATCGGCTCGATTTGAGAAAGAGGTAAAGATTTGAGCAGATAAAAAAAAAAACACTGGGTGGATTTTTATCATTTTAGGGTGGTTGTGTACACACTGCCAACACACATTTCAGTTCAAACAACTTGTAAAAGTGCATGTAGCATCATATGACCCCTTTAAAAATAATTACTGATAGTTTGTGTCACTATTTGATTGCACTGCAGTGTAAAAAAAAAAAAAGGCACCAAATTGTAATACTTTGGGTTTTCAAAACCATCAACCTTAAGTATGAAGCAAAATACTGCCTTAGCAAGAATCACTAATAAAAACAAGTTAATATTCAGATTCACCTGGTAAAGACAGGAAGTAGCCAGTACTTCTTCTGGTCCCCAAACACCTGAGCAATGTTCTTGCTGAAGCCCAGGGAAAATCCATTTTTATCAGGGCCATTTCTGAAGACCGGGGCTCTGAACGCTTCTGAACATAAAGAACACCACAGAAGAGGGTTAAAATGCATACACTACCTTTCAAAAGTTTAGGGTCAGTAGTTTTTTTTAAAGAAAGTACTACTTTTATTTGCCAAGGCTGCATTAAATTTACCAAAAGTGACAGTGAAGACACTTATGATGTTACAAAACATTCCAACATCAAACACCAACATCTTTCTAGTGATCAAAGTATATTTCCGCAAAAATATTAATCAATATTAATCACAACTGTTTTCAACATTAATAAAAACATTTCTTAAGCACCAAAATCAGCATATTAGAATGATTTCTGAAGGATCATGTGACACTGAAGACTGGAGTAATCTGCTGAAAATTCAGCTTTGCCATCATACAAATAAATTACATTTTAAAATATATTCAAACAGAAAATAGGTATTTTAAACAAGAATAATATTACATAATATTTTTTACAGTATTTTTAATCAAATAAATCAGTGAGCATAGGAGACTTCTTTCAAAACCATTAAAAAATTTTTTTTTACAGAGTCTGACCCCAAACTTTTGAACGGTAGTGTAGATGCATGGCAAACCAGAACATGAAATCACTGAGCTCTTGTGCCTGAAGCTGACTGAGTGAATTTATGCTTTTTCAAAATAAAATTACAGGGCCTGATGGGAAAACAAGCAGGGAATTTCTTCAAACACTGCTTGACTGATCTGGTCAACACAAGGAAATTTGAACGACCAGTTTTTCCAAAATAAATCTGAACAAGGTTTAGCTTGTGCACAGTACGTCTACTGTTGTTGCTATGGTAACAATTGTGAGCAAGCTGTCTACAGGCGTGGCATCTTTGTTAGAAACATGAACCTATCTATACAGTACATGTAGACAAAGATACAGAGAAGTGAGTATGGTCAGGTGTGTTACCTATGGTGGACCTGTTTTTTCCCACAAGCCACAAGTGGTAGGTGAAGAGTGAAAGAATGCTGATGCAGAACATGGCCGCCACAAAAAAGAGAAACAAGACATGGAATTTGGCGTGAGACTCTGGCAGGTCATTCTGAGAGAGGGGAGAGAGAGAAAGGAGAGCTGTGAGACAAAGATCAACAACGAGCAAGACACGGGCAACAGGTCACTCTGACACAACTTGACAGGTACGTTAGGGTCACAGGGTTAAAACGACAAAAAACAGTCAACGTAACTCACTGCGCTAACACTGACACGTTTACTAAACACAGGGATTACCTTTGGACAATTCTCTGCCGATTTCCTCCGGCAAAGCTTAGTGCAAACAGAGACAGACTGTTAGACACAGGAAGAGCACAGCGGGAGAGCAAAAGCTTTGGCCGCAGAGAGACGCAGGCAAGAAGGGATTACAACAGCAAACAAGTGCTTGTCAAAACACATACACTACTGTTCAAAAGTTTGGGGTAGGTAAGATTTTTTAAATGTTTTGAAAGAAGCCTCTTTTGCTCAAGGCTGCATTTATTTGATAAAAAAAAGTAAAACCAGTAATATTGTGAAATATAATTAAAATGTATTATAACCGTGTTCTATTTGAATATATTTTAAAATGTAATATATTCCTGTGATGACAAAGCTGAATTTTCAGCAGCCATTACTCCAGTCTTCAGTGTCACATGATCCTTCAGAAATCATTCTAATATGCTGAAGAAGCTCAAGAAGCATTTCTCATTTTTACAGTTGTGCTGCTTAATATTCTTGTGGAAAAAAACATTATACATTTTTTCCAGGATTTTCTTTGATTAATATAAAGCTAAAAAGAACAGCATGTATTTTAAATAGAAATCATTTGTAACATTATAAAGGCTTCTACTGTCACTTTTGCTCAATTTATTGCATCATTGCTGAATAAAAGTATTAATTTTGTTTAAAAAATCTTACTGACTTTTGAATGGTAGCATAAGTGAAACGAACAGATGAAATGGAAAAGACAGCATGTATGAGGGTGGCAGAGTGGACAAGTGAAGCCAGGTATATGGACATAAACTGATGCATGACGCATAATTAGGAAATGTAGACAGGAACCTGCTGAAAACACATATCTATGTCCTACCTTCATACGACGCACCATGGCAGTGAAAATGTTTATGTACATGGAAGAAATGTACACAAATGAGTATGATGAAAGGTGAGGGATCTACTCACTGTCCAGAACTTTATGAAGTATTCAAGGACAGACGCTGCGATGAATAAGCAGTATACAAGCGAGTAAGTCAGGAACAGGATGAAGAACTTGTAATTGGAGAAACCCACACAGTTATTCACCCTGTGGAAGATGGAGGGAAAGAGAGACGTTAGCAGGGTGTTAATCAATTTGTTTTTAACAAATTAAATTTCAGTGCCAACAACCTGCATCTCACTCACCATGGACAGTGATGATCCATCTTTAGTACACACCTGTCAGTAACAAGAACAAGCAATGTGTTTGATGGCCATTCAAGAAAGACCAACAAAATATGGTAGTAGTTAAAATGACACAAATGAAACGTGAAAGCAAAATGTCATAAGAACTATTCATGAGACACTACAGTAACTTACATGTCACATGCAGAACAATGATGACATCTGTCTGGCTTGATGACCTGGCATCGGTCACAGTACCGGATAGCTAGAAGATGAGGAAGAAAATCATACCAGTTTCGATGCCTATTTTTATGGCAAAATCCAGGTTAAAATATACAATAATAAAGGTAATAATAAATTGCAAACAATAAAAATAAATAAATCTGTAATAGTAAAATAAGAATAAATAGGTAATAGTAAAAACAATAATAAATTAGTAATAATAATAAAAATATAATCTATTCAAATATGTTTTTACAAGTTTACAATAAAGACTATACAAGAACATTTGATATTTTAAAATGTAATTTTTTAAAGAGTTTCATAAATAAATCAATGTTTAAATATAGATTATTTACACAGAACTTCATAATTAGGGTGGTCATCTTGGCTGCCTATGAAGCTGTTTACCAGCTAAACCAAAAACTTAAACAAGCTGTTTGTGCCGATAGCCTCTTTTGGCAATTAAATAACTGAATTGTAGAAAGTTTAAAACACATCTTACTCAATGAAAAGTCTAAACCTGTGTCTGCTTACATCTGGTACTTAGGCCCTTGAGGTGCAATCTTGTGGGTAATTTCTTATTACATATTCTGTGTTTAAGTCAGTTTCTAACCTCCTGCCCCGGTGCCGGTGTAGAGGGGGAGACTGGTGGCCACTCTCTTCAGGATCTCCTCCTGAGTTTCTGGACGCTGTTCCTTCTCATACTCCTCTTTCTCAGATTTGGGTAGACAGAACTGACACACAATACAAAACTATCAGCTCACTGTATGACAAATCAGCAGCATGTTCCATTTTGACAACAATAGCGTGTAAAATGATACGTATAAAAACACTCACTCCATGGAAACAAATAGATATTGTGTGCATTTATTCATAATGCCTGGATTAACATGTTAATATGCATATCATCTATGTGGCATGTTACCATGGGCTGCATGTAAATAAAACAGTTTGTTTTATACCCACTGTACCTCTTTGGAAGGGGTTGCTGGTCTTGTAAAGATGGTTTTCCAGTACGACCACACAAACATGATTAACGACACATGAAACACAGTCAGGTAGATAACTGCACAGAACAGAGAGAATACAGTCATTAACAACAAGACTGCATGAGCCCGCAGAGAAAAGCCTGCCAGAAACAGTCCGAGTATAAATCAGTCACTCTAAAGGCGTTTGTGATTGCTGATGCAGTTTGACTGTGCTGGAAGGCCACAGTCAGCACAAGCACGGACCAAATAAACCTGTAATAGCCTGACAGTTGTGCCAAAGTGACTCTGTACCTTTATAAACATATATACAATTATCTTTAACTCTTGAAATGAATTATTTTCCTTGCTATAATACATTGAATGGTTATTTGGTTTGTGAATTTAAGAAGATTTCTACAAGGGTCTTTGAAATAAGTAATTCTGATTGGTCAGTTGGTCATTGGTCAAAACTGTTGTCCTAATTTATGTCTCTTGTATCATTCCACACATTATTTTTTATTATATAATAAAATAATCTCAACTCAAATCAATATTACCTGTGCATTTATTTATTTAAAATGTTTTACATTTAAATTAATTACTTTATTTAATGTGTACCTAGAATTCAATGTAAACTGCTTTAGATAAAAGCATCTGGCAAATACATAAATGTATATTTTTTTTGTTGGTAAATTAATGCAGAACAAACTGGATTATATACAGTTAGTTCATAAACACCTTAAAGGTGATGCAACATAATGACTGTACATTATCCCTTACTTGGCTTTTTCCTTAAAAAAGTGAAGTGAAGGTTTACTCACCTTTTTCAATAGTACTGGGAATAGTAACTGCAGATAATATAAAAACAGAAAGAGAAAAGAAACTGTTTAGCAGATATGACTCATGGCACATCTGCTTTATCACACTTCTACTTCTATGAAGTATGAACACTGCTGAAATATGAAATACACTTTACCTAGACACGTGACAGAAGACCTGAGGCTTGACTTTGTGAACATGTTTGCTTATAAACATATAATAAGCATCTTTTCCATATTGAAAATACAATTTGTGCTATTATTTCTCTGAGAAACTCTCAATAATCTGATTTCTTGTTTCTAAAGAGGAAGAACCACCTTTTAAGGGTTTCCTACTGTAAACCTGTATAAAACATTTTATAATAATATAATGCTGTATGGCAAAATATAAATATTAATTTACATTAAAATGATTAACTGTAAAATAAACGAATACAGTTGGCACTACCAAGCTTATAAACACTTCCTAATCTTGAATATGGTGTAAAGCACAATATGTGCTCCAAAACCATAATCCTTGTTTTGTTTCCAGTTTAAAATTAATAAGCGAATTAGCCAGCTCATGTAAACAAACCATTCATTGATGTTTCAGTTCAGTGACTTCCGGTAGGCGCGCGCCCCTCAGGTATGAATAAAAGCGCACTTACACAGACACAGCTCCACCACGTATGCATAATACGACCAGCACACCACTAAGGCAATAAATATCACCGGTATCCACGCCAGACCCCTCTGACAGCATCTCAGTACATGTGTAGGCGCCATCTTTCTCCTTCCTTGACTACAAAAGACGGGAAGGGAAGGGAAGGGAGGGATGTGATCTGTCCATCCCATCCGTGCCCCACCACCAACCCCGCCGGTTCGGCTCCGCCTTAGCCCCGCCCAGAGCCGTTGAGAAACAGAGTTGCGCCACTCTCATAGGCTTCCATAGGAACTGAGGAATGCGGAAGTAAAGCGTGTCATGGAGCGGCCAATAGTTCCAAACAACCAATAGTTCCAGTATTGAAGCCCATTCATTTTAGTGCTTCTCAAGCTCACTCGCCAGAAAGTTGAGGAAATTACAGCAGTTTTTGGCATTTGATAATAGGCAGTTATGCTATATTTGCAGTTAGATAACGTGAGAAACACCTTAATAGCGATCATAACCAGATGCTAGTTGTCATATTTTTAAGTTTTTAGTCTATCTGCAATCTTTCTCTCCCTGTAGGAAGTTGAATGAGTTTCAGTGAAGACTGCCCAATAAAGGAATACAAGAAAGGTTTCCCCTGAATGCAGTTGCTTTGTGTTTTTTAAACGTTATTTTAATTTTTTTATTGGGTTAAATTCCGTATTTACTGGCCTTTTTAACATACATTTATATTGTCTACTTACATACATGGCATAAAATAATACTGGGATGTAATTAATCTTTTTAAATTAAACATTAAAAAAAGCAAAACTTATAAACATTGAATGTTTGATAATGTCTAAATATACAATGCAAAACATTAAATAAATAAATTAGGTATTATGACCGGTAAAACTCTTTACAGCAGGGGTGTCCAAACTTTTCCTAAAGGGGGCCAAATTCGACGATGTGGAAACACTGGGGGGCCGGATGCTTCTACCTATATATATATATATATATATATATTGTGTATGTATGTGTGATGTTGAGTTGACAGTAGCAGTAGCTTGTGTTTTGTTGAGGACAAAAATCTGCAAATATCTTGTTTTTAAGCTTTAATAATTATAACATAGAATGGCTTTATGGTATTTAATCTATTAACACATGAAAGCACAAACTGCATCAAAAATGTCTGTAATTTGGCCTATATTTCATAACTCCCTTACATTACATTAAATTGGCTATATGTCTACATTAATTATATAAGAAGATTCTGTATAAATATGCAACATTTCTGCCACAATACCACAGTTACGGTTACTACAGTAAATCAAAATGTTGGTGATTTGTGGATTGAAAAGTATTCTTACTGCATTGTTGTCGCACAATGTTTTTCCTATCTTCCGCGTTAGTGTTGTTGAGAATGTCAGCGCTGTTTCATCTGCCTTTGACATATGTGGTTTGTATGGAAACCTCTGCTCCAAACTCAAACGCTTCTCACAGCGCTGTTTAGTGGTCTCGTGATCGAGATCAGTCAGCGAGTAAACGCATTTGTTCTGAGCTCGCGCTACGCTGTCTTTAGGCAGAGCTAACGGTCCGTGCAGCGCGGTTCAAACGAGTCGCGCTCTTCCACTTTTGACGCGTTTAGGAATTCGTGTGCGCTAAACAAATGAGAGCGCATATGAGTTATCAAATTGATATCACTCGCGTTTTACTGCTACATCTGGTCTAAAATGTAGTGCTGCCATCTTGTGTTGACATTTTGAAACTGCATAGGCCTATTTTGTAAATTATGCTTGGCGGGCCATATATAATATAAACTATTAAGACAGCTGCGGGCCGCTTAAAATTCATCCACGGGCCGCATTTGGCCCGCGGGCCGTAGTTTGGACACCCCTGCTTTACAGCAACTAGAGTAGTGCTAAATGTGGGCTATATTTATTAAACAGCCATACTGGCATCTAGTGGTTAAACCATGGCATTACATAGGAATATTATTTTTCTGGCTACCAAACGCCTCTAATTTGCCTCTTTGCACTGGAATTTAAAAACATTTTCTCTATTTTAACCTTAAATACTACGCTAATTGTAATATAAATAAGCATATTAGAAAAAATATTAATGCTGTCTCTTCATCACTCCCCAGAATAAAATGCGAATGTAAAACGTAGTCAGCGTAGTTATCAATACACATGATGTGTTAATAATAACTAGAAATTGCTGCAAATATAGTGAAACTGCTGTCTATCCTACTTAAACCCATTCAAACGTATTGACAGCGCTGAGTTGTTTGGAACTATTGGCCACTTCATGACATGCTTTACTTCCGCATTCCTCAGTTCCTATGAAAGCCTATGGGAGTGTCGCAACCTGTTTTTATACAGTCTATGGTCGCAACTCTTTTTCTCAACGGCTCTGTTCATGACGTTGCAGGACGTTCTCCCAGTAGACCTATCTGATTGGCTAAAAAGCAGACGTTGCTAAGCGGGCGTCAGTCTACTGGCGAATCAATGGCTCGTGAGTTAATATTAATTAGGTTACTTATATATTTTTAGGATTCTTAATTTCGCACTAGTCTACAAGAGACAGGGTTTGTTTGCGTTACGAGGCCTAAACCTCAAAACAAAACAGGGATCTTTTCTATTTTAGTGAAGTGAAATGTGGCCAAGTATGGTGACCCATTTTTAACCCATCCAAAGTGCCCATCTTTGCATTTAACCCTTCCGAAGTGCACACACACAGCAGTGAACACACACACACCCGGAGCAGTGGGCAGCCATATTTGCTGCGGCGCCCGGGGAGCAGTTGGGGATTCGGTGCCTTGAAGGGCACCTCAGTCGTGGTATTGAAGGTGGGAGAGAGCGCTGTACATTCACTCCCCCCACCTACAATCCCTGC